CCCAGATCAAAATATCTGCTATAACTCTTGTAGTTTAGGTTATCCAGGGTATAGATGCGTGGAAAAAATGTTGAGATCTTTTTTTCAGCCAGCACTGGAATAGATGGGAACAGAAAGGAGAGCACATAGGAGCAGTATATGATTGTATGGCAGCCTGGTGAGACAGCTTTTGGCTGCATCTGCTGGCCTGAAGGCTGGGCCCAAAAGAGGTCCCAACTTCACTCTGAGGTGTCATTTAAAGCTTCTTTCCCCAAAATCATACAGAATCTCTTGCCTAATGGCTCCAGTCTGGTGTGTCTTCCTGTGGATGTAACTTTCAGACTTGTGTTTCTGTTTCAACATTGGCAAATGCATCAAGCTGTGATTTAATTTGTGATCCAGAATACCTTGATTTCTTAAAGATGAATGGTCCTGCAAGGTAAACAGCAGACTGATGCGTACCTGGAATGAGAGAGCCACAGGCAATATCCATCAAAAGCAGTTGGGTGTTGCTAACCCCAGCTTTCAGTACAGCTCAGAGAGTACCAGGCTGTGCAGTGTGTGTGGTGAGTTCCCAGCACTAAACCTGCCTATTGCAATGAAAAGATTTCAGCAGCAATGTCCTCCATCTTACTTTACACTGAGTCTGTCTATGTCTCAGTAAGCCCAGCTAGGATAGCTTTGCTTTCAGAAACCAAGAAGGTAGAGATATGTGAAAATTCAATTGGTTCCTCCCTCCCTAAGGCCTCTATTGTGTTAAGGGAAAAAGGTGGATTCAACTTCAGTCCATTAGCTGGAGATAAACAGTTGATAAAATCCTAGCAAAGACAAGACAGGTTGCTATTCTCAAATGAATTAGCAATTCAGCAGAAAGACATAGCTTTCCCAAAATTCCTGTTAGGAACATATTATTGCACTTGTTTTGAGGAGTAGAGAAATGAAATGATTTCACCATCAAATACACACAAAGTACTTTTTATCTTTTTTATTATTTTTTTTCCATTACTGTCAACTCTACATCTATTTCTCCAGCACAAAGTAAGATTAAAAACTGCCAAATTTGAATATAGGGTCATCATCTCTGGTGGTATGAACTGATAGATCTACACTGAAGAAAATATCAAAATGGAGCCTGTAGTGTTTTGCACTCCTTTTGTATAGGTTGAATTACAGTACAAGGTACAATGCTACAGGGTATTGGTCCCCAGACTCCTGAGGAGACAGAAATGTTACTTGGGACTTGGATCCATCAAGAGAGGAAAACAGAGTCTGGAGAATTTTCCAGGTCATAGATACACAAGAATCAGAACATCTGTTGAGAGGTTACATTCATTCACATATAAGTTATGTTTGGTTGCTTAGGAGTTATACAATGAGACACTTCTCTGAGTGTGTTATCTTAGATCAAAAAATGATAGCATAAACATTTCTGGTTAAATGTATATGGGTGCATTATCCATCCAGGTGTATTCCCTGTATAGGCAAATGTCAGCAATCTGGAGCAGAGCTCCTATCTGAAGCATCAGTAGGAGGCATCCACAGCAGTAGCAGTGGTTTACTTTCCTGGGGTAGTTTTCCATTTGAAAACCTTGCATTGTCTCAGAAATATCTTTTTCTACCAAGACTATATTTTGGTGTGAACTCTTCCATGCAATATTTTAACCTGCAAATAACCATGTTGTGGTCCTTAAGTACCTAGTGCCTCTGTAGAATACAAATGAAATAAAATGGAGCACAATTCCAGATCCCTTCAAGGCTTCTGCATCTCCAAAGAGCTGTGACTTCACAGTGTATTCAGTATCAGTTACGAAATTTAGGTGGAAAGCACTATGGTCAGCAAGGCCAAAGAGGATTCAATTATTGGTATGGCTATATTAAAGGTCCACCTATACATTACTTAAGTGAACTCTAATAATTATGAAAACTAATGAGAATAATCTTAAATGTGTAGGAGCAATCTTATATCATTTTAACATTGTAATCATAAAAATAATATAAAAAAGCTTTTTACCACTGAAAAGATTCTGAGTCTTCAGCTAACTTCAACTTTGTTGAACTTAATGACATAGCTGAAAAGCTGACAAAATTGAAGTAAAGTTAAACACATCTATTGTTTTCCATATCTTTCATGTTAAATCCACATTACTTTGGTTGACAGAGTAGAAGTGCACATTCCTGCACTGACAAGAATGATTATTAGCAGTCAAGAACTCGTCTTGATACTGATGACTACATGTAATTTTAAGTCTACTGGAAAATGAAAGATCAGCCTTTCCTTTTCACTGAAATTCTCCATGCATGCTGAACTCCATGACAACACAAAACAAATATACAGTGTTTCTAAAAAGTAAGATAAACTAACTCATCTTTAATGAAGAAAACTGGGATATAATAGATATGAAAGAATCTGCCTCTGGAAATATTTAAATTTATGGTCTGATAATCCTGTGACTTAGAAATAGTTCTTATCTTCAAAACTGAATTTGAACCAGGTCCAGAAGTATCTTTCTAGCTTTTCTCAGGAACTTGGATTCAACTTAATAGGTGAAATAGGACACATAAACCTGCACTCAGGACAGAAAGCACAGGTACACCACACACAGGAACATAATATTGTATGTATTGGCTTTCACTGAATGGTCAATATCACTGAAATTCAAACTTTCAATGAAGCTTTTATGTACAAGATTATGTGTCCCATTTTGGCAATCAAGTTCAGACATCTGGTCCAAAATGTAATCAGAATTAGCTCCAGGACTCAGGCTTGTCTTTAATTAGAAAAAAAAAAAAAAAAAAAAAAAAAAAGAAGTGTGTTCCAATAAGCAGAGGTGATCTGTAACACAGCCACAGTCTACGGCTTTGGGGCCTAAACTTGCTTTTGTTGAAGTTAATGGCAAAGCTCCCACCAAATTAACTGAAAGCAGGATCAAGGCCATAGTTTAGACAAGCAACAAAACATAAAAACCTTCTCATTTGTGCCAGTGAGAGCATAGAACCCAAATGGAATATTTCCAAAGTTGCATTTGTGTACAGTTTATTTTCTTCTCTTGGTACATGTGATGATGAACATCAAGCTGGCACGAATGAAGAATAAACCAGGCTTAGGAGGTGTGCTTTGTAAGCTCATTCTGACAAATACTATTTCCCTTCCACTTCAAATTTTGGCCAAAAACTGTGCCTTTGCTGTATTATGTAACCTGTTGCAAGATCAATATTCCCAACCTGTTTGGGGTTAAGCAGTATATGTGCACAAGTATTTTCTGCTGGATCATGTCCAAAAGCATGGGAATCCCTTCCTTTTCCATTGCATAGAATCCTAATTTAAGCCATAACCCAGGTGTGGAAATTCATTAATGGGTTTACAAATCTGAGATAAATTCACTACCTCTACTCCTTCTTAAGTGGTAATGTGCACATCTTGAACCATATCCAAAACATATATATATCAGTGGAAAGATGTCTATTGATTTGCCATGGTAAATATGAGAGAGTGGGTCCGGTGATCTCTCTCATAAAATTAATGAAAATAGACAACACAAATATTTATTATTACATAACAGATCACTAAAGCCTAAATTGCTGCACACATTGCTTTACATAGCACTTGCTCATTTTTAACACATTCTTTTGGTCCCCTGGAAATATAGAGGACAGTTTTCAAATATGGATATATTTAAGGACATGTATGCTCCTGAACAGTGGTGTACACAAACAATGTTTAGCAGAAGCACGTTTCTCATTCGTTGCTGTTTTTGCCAGTCTTAAACCTTTTAAACCTCATGCTTCAGGGTTTTAGCCTGTCTTGAACAATTAGAAATCAAACTGGCCCTCAGTCAAAAGGAGAAAACGAGATCGCTTCACACTTTCTTACTTACCCTATCCACTGGCCACTGTCATAGACACAGCAATAGACTAGGTGCACTTAGGCCTGAACCAGTTTGACAGTTTCTGTGATCTCTGCTTAACAATCCTCTTTTCATTCGATTATGATGTAAACTGTATCTGCTTATTGATGATATTTTTAAGCCAGCAGCTGCTACTGCTAGTGAAATCAAGCATCTCATTTCCAAGGGCATTCTGGGTCTGGGGGAAAAAAAAAAAAAGATAAGAAAAAAAAAAGAAAAAAAAAAAAAAGCAAGAATTTAATTCTCCTCCTGGCTATGTGGAAATGAGAGCTAGGTGATACTTTGCATCATCTCAAGAAAGAAGTGGGAAAAGACTTGTCTGAAGTGCATGTTGCCAGCACCAGTTGGTCCCCTTCGGCAGAATTATATAAGATACAGCTGTGTCTGTCCCAGATGCATAGCCTCCTTTTGGCATTAAATGCATGGGCAGCCAGGATTGTGAATGTACCAGTCTGAAAGGTGTATACAATGGAAATAAGACCTAAGGGGAAAAGGATAAATAAAAATACTCTTCAGAGGTAAACCATTGTAATGGTACTACACATTCCATAACAGAAGACATATTCTGAAAGGGTCAGAGAGCTGCCTTACACATTCTTCAGCTCAAAAGGAGCTGCTCTGTAAGAGGAAATACCATTTTTCAGTCTTTCATCCCTGTTCAGCTTTAAGAATAGTCTTATTTTTTCTCTATTAAAGACCAAAGGAAAAAAAAAAGTTTACATGCTGAAGAAGAGAAAGTGTGGGCCTTTGTTATTAATGTTGTAGAAATACAAATATGTCCACCTAAGAAAGGAGTCTTCATTAACTCCCACAGCCCAGAAAATTAAGGCACGGCTCATCAGGATCTGTGCTTGCTGTTGGCTAAATTGCAAGGGACTAGTTGAGTTGCTGGGGTTCATAATGCTGATAGAGCGGTTTCCACGTGAATGAAGGATAAACAGCGATTAATTTCAGCCAATAAATAATGGTTTGAGGCCCACATTGAAAGAGGAACAATTACTTTTCCATTTTTCCTGCCAAATGAGCTGATAAGAGAAAACAGGGGAGTTGGCCACGTAAATCAGTCTTAATTTTATCTTCCCCATTAAAAAGCAGCCATTAAGACCATCTTCGGCTCATTTCATCCTCTTCTTGTTTCACTTTTTCAATTTGCACAAAAGGGGGGAGTTTGCTCGTCATAAAATTTCACTTTGGCCAACCTATCATTTGCATCTGAGCCAATAAATAGCAATTAGCATAAACATTTAAATCAGGAACTGGAACAAATTCTTGTTCCCCCAGCAAGCTGTTAAATTACAGTATTTCACTATATATAAGAAGCATTAGAAACAAGATCTGCTGGGCACAATTATCCCTTTCAAACAAGACCTGCTTGAAAAAAAAAAAAAAATCACTTGCTGGGCAAACTTCTTGCTCACAGCCAATGAGCTTAATCAATGTTGAGAGAAGCCACACCATTAATGATGTTCAACTAAGCCCTATTTCAAACTTTCCATCTAAAGGTATTTATTTGATATTTATCCAAAATATATTTCCTAGGAATTAATTTAATTTGGACTGACATTAAACCATCAAGCTTAACATTTTCAAGTACATTTTTCTTATTTTGCTAAAATGTTCCTATCTTTACTTATAGGTCAGCCTGAGCTTTACAACTCTTGCTTTTCTTGTGGTATGCTAATTATGTCAACACATGTTTAGCTGAGCGTGACTCTGACTTGTTTATGATGTGGTAAACCAGGAATAACTCTGTAAATGCCAATGTAAGTCCAATGGGTAAGAAACAGATTCATGTACATTCCACTTAGAGTTATTCTTTTTATCTTGCAAGAATATTTTAACTCTTATGCATCATTTTCCATTCTCATAGATTCTCAACAGGAAGTAAGAGTTACTTCCATTTTGCAGCTGGGGAACCTGCAGCACCAACAGATTAAATGATTTGCTGAAGGTCATGCAGCAAGTCTGAAATGCAGCCACAGTTGGCATTTGGGTCTTAAATATACATCTAGATCTAGATTTCACTCTTTCAAATGTATGAGCAGAGAGAATTGAAGTCACATATGAATCAATTCTCCCTTAAGGTTATTTAGGCTCCTTTTGAGAACATTACTTTCTAAAGCAGTTTTGAAGATGTATGACAAAGTAGTAAGCTTTTTGCACACTGACCAGTGCAGGTTAAGTAGCACCTCAGAGCAATTTAATGTAATTCCCTCAAATACACTAATTTTAAGATGCTAATGAAAGTTGCTTTAATTGTTAAGTTGGGTTTGTTTGCTTGTTTTGCTGTTGTTTTTGTTGTTGTTGTTTTTGTTTGTATTTAGATTGGAATGGTGAATTGGAGTAAGTACAGTAAAAAGAAGAAGGAAAGTGAAAATTAATAAAACTGGAACAGCAAAACAGAGCTGTTATTCAAGTGTTCAAGATTTCTGAAGTGCTGGCTGGGAGTACTTGCTGAATCTCCATTAAGAGCAGCGTTGTCCTTTACCCAAAGCTCTTCACTCATAAGAAGAAAGTGCATCTAAAAATCTATAGTAGAAGAGCTCTCATTCCAGTGTAGCATGTATTAACTTTTCTCATGTTAAGTTTTCCAAAACAACAACAAAAATAATTAAAAAAACTTATGGATAATTTTTGAGTCCCTGCTCAAAGGGAGAAATAAGTATCTAATACTCTGTCTTTTCTCCCATCAAATGCCAGTCCTTGTTTTTGTGTTTAGTCTACACCCAAACTTTCAGTTAACAGACAAGATTCAGTCTTTTACCTCAAGTGAAATTTTGATTGAAAGTCTCTCTGAGGCAACCACATTTTGGATTTTCCCTTGTCTGAGGTTTATATTAAAATAGGTGAATTTTTCTCTGGGTACGTTTTTCTGTAGCCTGCATGTTAGTACCAAGATACTAACAAGTGAAGTGTTTGGGTATTTCAACAGTATAGAATTATAAAATCATTAAGGTTGGAAAAGACCTCCAAGATCATCTGGTACAGCCATCCCCCTACTGTCACCCACTAAACCATGTCCCTGGGCACCAAGTCCATCCTTTTCTTAACAGATTAATAGAATCATCAAGGTTGGAAAAGACCTCCATGTTATATCTGCATGTTACATCTGAAGATCAGAGAGGTGAATAAGTATCATTATCATTACCATGAATGTGAAAACTAAGGGCTGATTTGTAGACAGAAGTGCATTATTTAAACTGACAGTGTTAATTAAACTGGTAGACTAAAACTAATACAAAAATCTCTTCAAAATCTTATTACATTTTGGAAGACTTAGGAAGAATTAATATACTAACATCTGCATGCAGCACTATACAAATTTGATTAAATTATTTTTAAAACAGAGATGACAACGTTTCTGGATGTGCACAGAATTTGAAAAGTCATGATAGGTTCAGTGGTTTGATGTAAGGTCATATAGTTGCAGACTTGAATCCGAGACCTGTGTCTACAAGGCTTGTTAATATGATTATTTTTTACCTTATGGAAGTTTATGAATAGGTATATGGTATTACTCTGGAAGTGTTATTTTCCATTTCTATATAATTGCTGTGACCATATCTTCATAATATATCTATCTTAAATGTAGTAGGATGAAAAACATAGTTGAAAACAAAATTTTAAGTATTCCTAAGATATTAATAAAGAACAATGTGTTAATTTTAGATAACATGTATTTAAAAAAATGACCTTTAGTCACAAAATTTAGAGGTTCAGTTTTGTAAAATGTATAGGTTAACATTTGCAAAAAAGGAATCCTGGGTGTTGTTTGAGCTGTCCTCCAGAACACCCTTGCGGAAATCATCCTTCAGAGATGCTTAAGTTTGGCCACCTGATGTTCTTTCATTGCATGCATATACCGAGGCATTTCAGTTTCTCATGCTTGCAGGAAGAACCTTTTCTGTACCAGTGAAAAGTCTTGATAACAGCAATAGTTAAAATTAGGATAATGTTCTGTATACAGTCATATGCATTTTATAATTGTGCTGGATAAGTAACAGGTTTTTGCTTGTCAGGTTCTTAAAAAACTTCTAGGGGGTTTCCTTGTGAAGCTGAATAAAATTAAGTGTGGATATAATACAAAAGTGAAGGTTGAAGAGAAACAAATGAAAAAATAGCTGAAGATAACTGAAATACATGTACTTTTGTACTCTGGAGCTGTGTGCCTCAAAGAGAAAATTATCAAAAAAAAAAAAAAAAAGTGAAAAAATATGTTAGTATGATCAGGATTTATCATTGAATCATTTTTGTAATAATGTAATAAGTACAATAACATGATTTTACATGCCAGCAAACTCAGAAGCACAGCAGTCAGAATACACCAGAAATAGATATGGGAATTGATGGACAATGTGGGACTTTTGAGAAGTATTGTTCAGAATTTTGATTTATGTTTAACAGAATTTAGGAGTGTGAAGCTATGAGAGCAACACATAAATTCTAAAGGATTTATCAAAAAAATGCAATGCATATTTCTGAAAGTAAACAAAATTGTCATTGCTACGAATTAATTCAAACGGAAGAAATATCATCCAGTTTTACAAAACTGTTAGTCTTCTTCTGAAGCTTTCATGAGAGTTAAACATAGAGATTCAGAACCAGATTCATGATGTTTGAACTATGATTCAACCATTAGTCATGAATTCAACATTTTATTTTGGGTCTATTAATTGTTTTTGTTATGTTAATCGATTTATAATTCCATAATGAGGAGACTAGTAATTTGTTGAAACAGCTTACACTTTAGTCTGTGTTGAATAGTGACAGCTTTATTACAATATTAAATTAATTAATTAAAAAAAAAAAAAAAAAGTGAGTGAAGTAAATCTTTTCCACAAAATATGCATTGACATAGAGAGATTTGCTTCACCATAATTTAATAATTTTTCATGTGTGAATTAGATGTAAAGCAACAAAGTGATAAAATAACAGAATAATATCTCAATGGGGCTGGCCTTTCTTTTATTTGAATTTCATTTGTAGTGCAAATAAATTACATATTTTTGTCAGAAATTAGGGGAAAAAAAATAAGATGAAAATTCTCTACTCATTCCTCCCAGTCTGAGATATTACTTAGAACAAGGAGGAATTTGACCGATTAAATATAAAGTTGATGCAGCAAGTTTTCAAAGTGTTCTACAGATCTACCATAGGGCACAAAAATGCATCTCATTGACATATCATTAATAATAGCTATCACAATTTAAGGAGTATTCATATTATAATAATCAGATATGAAAAGTTTAGTAATGAATTGCACACATTGAAACATAAAGGTTGGAAGCAAAACTGTAAATACTCTATATAAAATTACTGAACAAACAAAGAGAAACCAACCAACCAAAAAAAAAAAATATATATATTTATATATATATATATATATATAAACTGAACCAACAAATCCCTGTAAATCTTGTTTTTCTGCACCAGATAATGTTTGCAACAGGTGAAATAAAACTGGATAACATCAGCCTGGACTATATGTTGCCTTGTCCTGCTGGGCTGGGGGTTCACTGTGGTTGTGTGGTTGCCAGACATCTGTCTTTCCTCCTGCAGATGCTGCTGTCTCTCTGGGTCATAATGAAACAGACTATAGTGCACAGGTAGACAAAATAGGCTTAAAGGAGTATATCATAATACGGTGGTTGGTTTTGTTTTGTTTTGTTTTTTTTTAATTTAGGAACTGAAGTAATCTGTTGCCCACCGTGCTATCTGTGTGTGAACAGCATTTTGATAAAAACTAAATATTCATGTGGAATGACAGAATGGTTACCATAGCCTGTCCCAGTGTGGCACCTGGACATAATGTTTTTTTTTATCTGACATGAAACACATTGATTCTCTTTTATTATTATTTTTTTGACTTTTCATGAGAATACTTCTAAATCAAATATCACTTTCAGATGAGAGGGACAGTATCTATTTTTTCAAACATAAAAAAAAAAATGTTTTTCATTACTGTTTTACTTTTTTTTTTTTAATTTTATTTTTCAAGACATAATAATTTGATGAATTTGATGTGAATTTTAAAGAACTTTGACAAGCTTTTGAAAATGTTTGTGAATGAAGATTGAAATAAACTTAATCATTTTATGCAGTTATAAGAAGAAAAAAGTATTATTCACAGTATTTTTTTTTGTTATGTCTTCACAGGATGTGATACTGTGTAGAGAAAAACCAAGTCACATATATATGACATATATATATGTCTGTGTCTCTACAGAGAGATACTGTGTGCACATATTATTCAGACTTCAAGTGAATGCTGTCATGCAATTGTATCATAACACTTCTACCTTGTATTGTTTCTCTATGAGTAAAAGGAAAGGGAGGCAAGGTAATTATGTAGTATTGTGAATCAGCTCGGGAACACGCTGATAGAAAGCAACAATATCCCTGAAAAACTCTGCTGTTACTTCAGTAAGTGAAAATTAAAATTTTGACCTGACTTTATCCTTTCTAAAATTTATGCTAGCTCCGTACTAGTATAAATGGTTCTTCATAGCATAAATGGACCAAACAGACTCCAAACATTTTGGGCCATGCAGAATTAAATATCAGGCAATAGATGTATTCATTTAAAAAGCAGGCAAGACCCATAGGACTTAAATTAAAATGTGAATGTGGACAATGGTTGAATCACTTGAATCTGTTCAAAGTAAATATTTTTATTTTCTTTTCTCCCTCTCTGTCTTCAATGCACAGAATAAAACAGTTAAATTATTTTTTTAATATATTAATTTTTTAATAGGCTGTAGTGGGGTTCTGTGCGAATATATATTAAATTCACAATAAAATCACGGAGCGATACTGATATATTTAATAAAGAGGGCAGCTGAGCTACTGGTTAAAAACCCCAACTCTTCAATGCAACATCAAATGTAAAAATGGAGGTGCCTTTTCAATCCCACCTCCTCCATTACAGACGAGAGTGTACTGAGTGATTCTGTTTGTCATTCCATTTGGGCTGAGAAAGATTAATTTAAACCCCTCTACAGGAGCTGGGGTAACTGACTTGCAACACTATAAGCAACATATGTGTGATATATCTCATTGATTATGTATTAGGGCACTTGTCCAAGTATGAAGAGGCCCATATCCTTTCTGGTAGCTAAAGAGGCCAAATATCAATCAACGTGAGATTTCCCCAGGACTGAATGAAATAATATTTTTTATTTCATGAAAATATATGTTGGTAGTATAGAGTAGAATGAATTTATATTCAATGTATTGCTTCCTGTGTTTAAAAGAAGCAAAAACATAGCCTCCCCACCACCTTTTTTTTTTTTTTTTTTCAGAGAAAGAAATAAAAGAAGCCTACTTGCTATAATCTGTATACAGGATTATGAAAAAGTAAATATTCAGGAAAGACAGATGAAATACAGTGGTTAAATAATAATAACAACAATAATATTACTAATAGTAGTAATAACAATAATAATTATTATTAGAGTATTATTATTAAAGTAAAAATAGCTAGATGTACCTCCACCCACTCAGGAAATCAGACCTCTGTGTAGTTTATAATATATTTACATCCTTGGCTAAATCTTTATTTGAGGGATTTTAATGACATTTTCTTAAATTAAGGGCAAGTTTCTGATGGACACATTTTTATGCCAGCAGTATATTATGGCCATGCAGTGACCTCTGGATGTGTACAGAACTTCTACTGACTCCAGAGGGAGTTCAACGGTACATGCCAATCACGGACTATATGTTCAGAATCACCTAAGGTTATATAAAACATTCCCTGCTTCTTTCCATTCAGATTTAATCGTACAATAAGATGATTTTGTGGTGGCAGTTTGCTATAAATATCAGCAAAAAATATTTGTTCAGAGGTAAAAATCTCACTGTCTTAGTCTGAAAATCAATTTTCTTTATATCCTTTATCAGCTTTTCAAATAAAAAATAAAAAAACATATACATGCCAGATCCAGTGTTATTTCTGCATGACATTAGCAGCCATTAATGCTCTGCATACATTATAAACATTACACCAGAGCCGTCATGAACCCTGCCGTGCGAATTTTCATAAGGCGATTTATTCCTACCTAGTGGGCACTTAAACCTCCTTTGTGTATAGGAGCAAAATGTGTTCGGCAATAAATAGCAAGGAATGAACTATAGTGCCTATTCTCCCCTTTTTGCACAAGTACAAATCCTTGATGGATCAGCTGTAATCATTTTTTTTTTTTAATTGTTCAGATGTTGCCCTAATAAGAAAAATCTAAACTAAGGCACCTAGTCTTTTATTGGTTAACTAGACAGCACAACAGGTTCAGTGACCTATTTTGCTTTTTGACAGTGCAAGTCAAAGTACTTAACTTCAATCACTATCTCATTTACAAACCCCCCCAAAATAAAAAGCATGACAGTTAACACTAATATGATGGCAATTTCATATTGTTTCTGCTTATGAATTTGTCTTTCCCTTATTAATCATCCAATAAAGCACTGACACTGCAGAATCCTGACGTTGACCAACAAACCATGTACTAAGGACAGTAGCACCCAAAAGGAAGGGGCTACAGCAAAACTGGAGAAGCGAAAAGCTTTTATTAACACCAGAGGCCCATTAGAGTGCTCTCTGTTCACCTTCAGTGGAGCAATAAATGAAGAGAGCTTCAGAGGAGAGGACTCCTACCGTCTTTGTGCTGGTAATGCACAGCCGAGCTGTAGTCATGTTGTAACGCTTGTAAGAAACAGATGTTCCTTCCCTGACAAATCTCCTTTCTTGATTTATTATTCATTTGCTCAAATCACAATGGAAAGTCTTTGGCCCATTAATTAAATTCCAAGCAAAATAAAATTTGCAGCAGAACTCATTACTGGTAAATGACTTTGACACTTCATCAGATTTGAAGGTAAAATAGGCGACTTTAGGAAGTTAAAGGTGGAGAGAGCTTAGGCCTTTTCTGCAACCACTGCAAGATGATAAAGATTGTGATGAAATTTTTATGTTAAGTACTGATCTTGGAAAGTTCAATTTTGTGTCTTTTTGCCATGAGCTATACTCTCGTGTCTTTAAAAATTGAGAGTCTAGAATTTATATAAAACAAAATCTTGTATCCTGTGTATGCAGATTTGTGTATGCTCATATGTCTTTTTTTTCTTTTTTTTTGGTATAATTTATCAATTATTGGTATATGCTATCAAAAGAAACCCCTGTTTTAAGCACAGATGTATAATAAGGTA